ATAATATGGCTTAACAAGCCTTGCTGCAGTTGCAAAGGCACTGTCCAGACGATATACTAATAATTATCTTCTTTTCACATTTTGGGCCTTTTATTTGGAGGATACGGCGTTCCTCATGTCTTGGGGCACACATCCCAAGATGCATTGTATATAGACAGACGGGGTCATCACTGGTCTTGTTCATATGCTTGATACGGCATTGGCATCGGCATGGCGAATTTATAAATATTCTTTTTTTTTCGGGAGGTTTGGCGCGCACACACAAAGACCGGAGTTCAGGGGGACACATAGGGCATCGGTGTCTATGGCTGGTCTGCTACATTCGCTTATACACAGGACGACGACAGATGAGAACAAGTGGGAGCTTGCTATTCGGTTGAGGAGGGGACGCTGACTCGCAGAGGGTCGGTTCCGCGTGAAACCGGCTGGTTGGAAGTGGGCAAGGGTTGCCGATGTTAATAGTCAGCGTTATTGTTGGGGAGTAGCTGGCGGCAAACCTTAATGATAGCTCCGTAATACTTAATGAGATAGAATAGCCCTCTGGCCGGCCTAATTTGGGCCGAATAGAGAATATTTGATATACGAAAATTTTTTGACTTTGGGCTCTTGACTCGTGTTCGTTCTATCTTCTACTAGACCTCCTATCGCAGTGGGTTATTAGGCCAGCATGAGTCGGTGGTGGAAGACAAATCGCTCATAGGGGTTTTCGTTATCTCAATATTTGCTCATCCAAGATTTCCTTATCACTAATCTGTGTGAGGTCGTATGGTCGTGGAGTGTGGGTGAAGTGGCATTGATCGATAATGGATGACAACGCCGACGCAGGCGGCGAAACTTCGAGCTTTGAGCTTAAGCTCCGAAGCTCACCGGCGGCTAGAGCCGCCAAGACCCAATGAGAAGGAGGCAAGATATCCGATTCGGGATGAAGCATCCCCGACCGGAAGCACATGATGGATGGCATTGTTCTCCGGCCAGGCATTTCGGATAGAAGAAGAAGGAGGGGGATTGAGCACTGGAATGGTGACGTTCGCGTTTAATATATATATGTGTGTGGCTTGGTAATCCGGACTCCCCTCGGGATCTTCATCATCCCAAGTTTCGCCGGTTTGCCTACAACGAAATACGAGCCAGCATGTCAAAGCCGATCAAGATTGGAGTTTTTATCCCAAATGGATGCCAGACACTTGACTTGGCAACCGTGGACGTCCTCGGAGTCATGTCCAAGGAGTATATCAGTGTCTTGCCCATGCCCTCCCACTTGAGGGATGCGGCGCCCAGCGTGACCGTCTACTACATCACGGCACCCAGCATGTATCCGGATGTTCCTCTCACCTCCAATGCCGTCCTCAAGGCGTCGCACACGCATCGGGATGCTGATGTAGCACCGGGGAAGTTGGACATTGTGGTTGTGCCCGGCCCCGATCCATCAAGCACGTATGAGAAGGAGGGGCTGGAATGGCTACGAAAACAAGCGGAGACGCCGGGCGTCGACATCCTGAGTGTCTGCACAGGCATATACATTTGCGCATCTGCCGGGATCGTGGATGGGAAGCTTGCCAGCGGGCCAAGAGGTGTGCAGAGCGACCTCGTGAAGAAGTTTCCCAATATCAAGTTGGTGGGGGACAGCCAGCGGTGGGTACAGGACGGCAACTTCTGGTCGAGTGGTGAGTCTCTCTCTCTCAATGGGGAAATCACGAAGATGACTGACATCTACGTCTAGGCGGTGTGACCAATGGCAACGACCTGATGGCAGCGTACGCTCGCGCCTCAGGGCGCTGGCCGGCTTCGATTGTTGATACTGGACTGATGCTCACTGATGTGGAGCCCCGGCCGCAGTTCTATGAGATAGGTCAGAGCCGCTTCTTTTTGAATACCGCGTGGATGATTGTCAGGGCGTGGTTCGCCAGTTTTGGATCTGCGACGAAGCAGAAGCCCGCATAATGAAGGAGGAAGCGGTTCTTATAGGGTGGGACAGCCCTTGTGATATGTATTATGCAATCAGTTTTATTCAAGCGTTAATTACCAATGGAAAGATGATTGAGAAAGAAGACTGCAGCTGCAGCACATGATACGGGAAAGATGCACTCATATCTGTGAAGTCGGCAGGCGCAACCCGCTGCTGGTCGCAACAGGCAGCTGCTGGCGCGCTGAACTAGAAATGCGAGGCAGGCGGGGCGTTTGGGTTGGTGGTTGCTGAGACACCGGCTGCCAAGACAACATCTTCTTCTTATCGCATCAGATAATTGGTCGCCTAGGCTCTTTAGGTGGGCCCAACAGCTTGCAATCGGTATCAGTCCAAAAAAAAATTTCGAGGCAGTTCTCAAGGCAAGTACGACTGTTCATCTCTTCACTTGAACGCAACATCCTCACTCGCCTCGTCGCATTTTCCTCGCAACAGTGACCAGGAACCCATTCATTTTTCAGGTCTCTCTCAACTCAGCACAGTAATTTCTTGAATTCTTTTCTTTTCATACACTACCTTCAAGATGTCTGCTGTCCCAGGCCCCGTCTACGGACTCGAGGTCCCTCCTGGCGAGATCTTGATCCCAGCCTCAATGGACTTCCCTGCTTCCGTAAGTCAATCTCCCTGTCGGCGATACTCGTCGCGAACCTGACGGGAGTCTCTACCGAGGCCAATAAATCGTCGAAGACGATTTGCTGACTTGCTTTACCCTTCTAGTTCCGCATTACCATGGCTGCTGTGGATCCTACTGAAGAGCCTGAGGCTGATGCTGAGGGCAAGATCCCCGACGTCCCTCGATCTACCCTGCGCCTGGTCAAGACCGCCTTCCCTGGTCTTGAGGATGACGATGAGGATGATGAGATTGACGAGGAGAGCCTTCGGGAACTCATCGCCAATGCCAACGAGAGCGACGATGATGATGATGAGGAGGAGGAGGCCAACGGCGGACCCAGCGACCCTGTCAAAGCCAAGAAGCAGAAGCAGGCCGCTGCTATCAAGAAGCTCCTTGAGGCCACCCAGGACGATGATGAGGAAATGGAGGATGCCAAGCCTAATGGCAAGTCAAAGGGTAAGGGCAAGGCCGTCAAGGAGGAGGATTCCGAGGAGGAGGACTCTGAGGATGACGACTCCGAGGATGGCGGTGACCTGGAGAACTTTGTCATCTGCACACTTGACACATCCAAGGTAAGATATTGAGAGCTCGTATCCAGCCATCTTTGGTATTTCCGCTCACCATCCCCCAGAACTACCAACAGCCTCTCGACATCACTGTCAACCACGGCGAGAAGGTATTCTTCCTTGTTACTGGTACTCACACTGTTTACCTTACTGGTAACTACCTCCTCCCTGACGATGATGAGGACGATGATGATGAGGATGACTACGACCTCTCTCCCGATGAGCTCGAGTATGCCTTGGGCGGGGAGATGAGCGAGGATGAGAGCGACGATCTCGATGACATTGATGACCCCCGTATCACTGAGGTGGACAGCGAGGAGGAGGCCCCCAAGCTGGTTGAGACCAAGAAGGGCAAGAACAAGCGCGCTGCTGAGTCACTGGACGAGCAGATCGCCCAGGCTGAGGAGACCAAGCTCTCCAAGAAGCAGCAGAAGAAGCTCAAGAACAACAAGGGCGAGGCTATTGCTGCTGAAGAAAGCAAGGCTGATAAGAAGGTCCAGTTCGCCAAGAACCTTGAGCAGGGTCCTACTGGCTCTACCGCCAAGAAGGCCGAGACTGGTGTCAAGGTTGTTCGCGGTGTGACTGTTGATGACCGCAAGATCGGCAAGGGCCGCGTCGTCAAGGAGGGCGACACTGTTGGTGTCCGCTACATCGGCAAGCTTGAGAACGGACAGGTTTTTGATGGTGCGTGATACTCTTGACAATGGGTGACTTGACTCTGACGAAATATGCTAATATATATGTTTGCAGCCAACAAGAAGGGTAAGCCTTTCGCTTTCAAGGCCGGAAAGGGCGAGGTTATCAAGGGCTGGGATATCGGTGTCGTCGGCATGACCGTTGGTGGCGAGCGACGACTGACCATTCCTGCCAAGCTTGCTTACGGTTCTAAGAGCCTGCCTGGCATCCCTGGCAACAGCACACTCGTCTTCGACGTGAAGCTTCTCGAGATCAAGTAAGCTCGTCGTTGATTGTTTGCTGAATGGTTCTTTCTCTCAAGGCGAGAGAATCTTGTACAATCTGCCAAGCTGTGGTTTCCAGTTCACAAACTACAACACCCCCATTTGTCTTCCTGTCTTGGCCTTAGTCTGGAAGCGACCATGGCATAACTAGATGAGCTCATTATCTGCCTCATTGCTCAAGGACCAATTTAGAGTCTTCCTTGAGCTGGACAAGAGTATAGACGAGGCTTGCTAGGCTGGCGTTGGGTGGTCAGTTGTTAGTCGAGGTAAGCTTGCATTATGTGGAATGCGGGCTGGTGTCTGATGTGGAAAAGTCGAATGTCTCTGCAGCGCATTGTTTTCTAATACGGTTTGTCGCTTTTTCCCGGAAGGTTGGTTTATATACAAAGCTGGTTTACCTAGGAGTTACAATACACCAAGTCTACTTACTTCCTTGATCTCGCACCGGTGAACCTGTGACTTGTGTATCAATCAATTAAATCTCATTTATTCCAGCTTGGATCACGGTATTAGTGAGTGATGATATCTAATCCAGTGCGTACAGGGAGGAGCGCGCCTGAAGCAATTTTGTAGGAGGAGGAGCGAAACACGAGAGAAGAAGTCCACGCCAACCCTTTCCGTTTAGAAGCAAGCACAGTATGAGGAGTAGGCAAGCCCGGTGGAGAGAAACATGCAAAAAAGGAAAGAAGGTATTGCATTGTGAGTTCAGAAATACAAAAGGAAGGATGCTTGGGTGGCTCTTGGTCGGCACTTACATGCAGGACACATCCAAAGCTGTCGTTCAAACAGCTTTTTCTGCCCCCCGAGAATCATCAGCCCACCATAAACAACAACATTCGTTTTATTTTTTGTTCTAGGTAGACTCTTATCCATCGAACGTCGACAAGTGCTCTCACATCATGTCCAATGGCACTGTTTGTTCCTCCCCTCCCCTCCCCAACGGGGACATGGTGATGTCCTCCGTCCGGCCATCAATCGAGACGGTCGAGAAGACAGCAGCTGCCAAGGTCTTTCTTGAAACCCACTTCAACGAGAGGCTTAACCGACCAAACAGCCGTACCAGACGGGAGCAGTACCTCCAAACGCAGTTATTCTACAACCCACACCTGAGCGCTGAAGAGAAGGACGCCATCATGGAGTCGTTCTATACTCACGAAACTTGGCACTTGAGAGAGACCCGTTCCATCAAGTCGAGATGTCCGGCTGTTGGGCAGCCGGTTGATACAACATCGTGCGGAAACAGCTACGAGGCTCTGAAGATCCTAGGGAAGGGCAGCTTTGGCGTCGTGAAGCTCGTCCAGGAGAAACCCTCATTGGGGCAGGTGTACCCCAAACAAGTCTTCGCCATGAAAGTCATTCGAAAATCAGATATGCTCCGGAGCAGCCAGGAAGGGCATCTTCGCGCTGAAAGAGACTTCCTAGTCGCCTCAGAGGGATCGAATTGGTAAGATATCTCCTTCACACTACTCAACCCAGGCTCTGCCGTTTGGTAGGGTTGAGAAGTTGAAAGTTGAAGTTAAGAGCTAACTCATAATGATTGCGACACCAGGATCGTTCCTCTAGTCTGTAGTTTTCAGGACACCTCGAATCTCTATCTTGTAATGGAGTATATGCCAGGCGGAGATTTCCTCGGCTTGCTGATTCGAGAGAACATTCTCCATGAAGCGGTCGCCAGATTCTACGTTGCCGAGATGGTCCTGGCTGTCGAAGAGGCTCATCGTCTCAGGTTCATCCACAGAGACATCAAACCGGACAACTTTTTGATTGCTGCAAATGGGCACTTAAAAATATCCGATTTTGGCCTTGCTTTTGATGGCCACTGGTCTCACGACGGAAATTACTACAACTATCATCGCTACTCTCTGTTAAACAAGCTCGGGATCCAGATTGACGGAGACGATGCCGACCAAAAAGAGAACAAAGACATGCACAAACAGCTGGAGAGGAACCGTATGCTGATGATGGGCTTTGAACGACATCAGAAGCCGAGAAACTTTCGCTATGAGAACCCCAGCGATGGTGATAGCGACAATGACGATGACAACACTCTGGAGGACATCATCGACTGGAGAAACAAGTGTGGCAACCGAGCTTCTGCCCACTCAGTCGTAGGAACCAGTCAATACATGGCCCCTGAAGTGATTGTGGGACAACACTATGACGGTAGATGCGACTGGTGGAGTATTGGTATCATTCTTTATGAATGCCTCTATGGCCAGACGCCTTTTCTTTCGGAACATGGGAGAAAGGAAACAAAGCAGAACATCCTGGTAAGCATTTGATGTAGCAGATCTGATGCGAGGACCCCAAGCATAACTAACAATCGCTCAGGACTACAGAAAGCAACTCTACTTCCCTCATAAACCCGACGTCAGCGACAAATGCCAAGACCTCATATACCGCTTAATTCGAGACAAGGAAAACCGGATCTGTTCTCGGAGGTACCAGATGAAGGACCGAGGACAGCTTGATGGCGGCCGACCAACTGATTATCTCGGACGGTACGTGTTCCCAGACGATGCTGAGGATATCAGAGCCCATCGGTGGTTCAAGAACGTTCCCTGGACACGGCTTCATGAAATAAGCCCCCCTTTTGTTCCTCACGTACATGGGCCTGAGGATACCAGATATTTTGATGAATCGGCATCCATAGATGAACAGACAAATTCAGGGGAGGAAGCACCGACACCTTCATCGCAAGAAATAAAGGCCATATTGCGAGATTTTCGACCTAGTATTCAGGAGTTGGCCACGGAATTAGTCGCTGAACCTTATGATACAATCAAACTACGAAGCATTGATCAAAGGATCGAGTTGACCGCACAAGCCAACGAGACAGAAAAGGATGTGTTGAAGCACTTCGTTCGGATGTATGGGCATAAAGAGCGGAAACGGCCCAGAGATAGAGTTCTACGGGATGAGAAGACGAAGGACGTGGCAATGGCTGTGAGAAAACAGACAGCATTTCTAGGATACACTTGGAGAAGAATGCGGCCAGAGGGATACATGATGCCACGAGCTGATACCCTCTTTAAGCTGGGAAAGCCGCACGGGAAGCCAACACTGATTATACAGTAGAATTCTGCAGCATATTTTATAAAGAATCGATAGCATGGAATACGATATGGGGGGGAGGCTGTTTGAGTTGTGAGGAGGGCATTAGAGGAGCGCAATTGTTTGTTTGCAAGAGGAGACGAACCAATGTTTCTCTCTGAACAGGACACTTTAACGAATACGTTCATTTTAGAGGTCATGAGGTGTTAATATTAATCATTCAGAGAAACCAGTATATGCTGTACGGCTTCGTCCTATTACAAGTATGATTGTAATTCACGGTAAACCATGATCGTGCTATTTTGTACGTCTTTTACAGATCACTGATCCATAAATGCCGATGAACACAGAAAGGTGATAGAAAGCACACGAGGCTAATAATCGTTCTTATCTCCCTGCCCACGCTCACAAATAGCCATCGTATCAGTGACAGCCGGAGCTGGAGGCTGCGAATTCAACACCTCCCACTCGAACTCCTTGAGAGCCCGGATCTCCCAGGAGAAGAAGAGCAAGGCCAGCAGGCCATCGATGAACCCGGCGAGCAGGGCGATGCTACCAAAAAGCATGAGGATGAAGGCGACGAAGTTCCGGGGGCTGAACCACACGGCTACCAGGCAGGCGACCCAGACGACGAGGGCGGAGTAGAAATGGACACCCCGCCAGTGGCGCTGGCTGCGCTCGCGGGAGGTGTACCAGAAGATCATGGAGAGAATGGAGGTGAACTCGGACCTGGAGAGGGTCTTGTCCTCGTGGTCGCTGGCGGCGTAGCGGAGCTGGGCGTCGTAGTCCGACTCTGGGGGATCGGCTGCGCTTGGATCCCGCGGCGTGGAGGTGTGGCGGGTGAGGGTTGCGGTCACCGCGAAGTGGTCGGAGAGGGAGACGAGCAGGTCGGGGTGGCGCTCGGTCATGGCCACCTCGGCGGACTCGACGACCCAGCCGGACCTTGCGCCCTCGGGGGAGGATTCAACGACATCTGGCGGCTGGCCCGTGGAGACGAAGATGTAGTCGAGGCGCTGGCCGCGGGGGTCGGGGGTGTCCGGGTCTACGGGGCAGAGGTGGCCGGCGCCCAGCTTTCTCTGCTCGGACCTGCCCCAGCGCCAGGTGTTGTAGACGTTGTTGCTGGTCGCCCCGTTCTCGAGCAGGTTGAAGTCCGCGGAGGGGACGGGCAGCCCGCGGCGAGCCTCGTCCGGGTGGTCGGAGGGCCCGAGGGAGCTATCGGGGTGGAAGATGCGCCAGACGTCGCGGACTGCCCCCCTGGCCGTGATGATGCGGTGGGCGAGGGAGTTGGGGAGCATGTTGAAGTCGCCCAGGGCGGCGACCAGGTGGCCCGTCTGCACGGCGGACCGGACGAGCTTGGCCATCTGCCAGGCCTGGGCCGTGCGGTGGCAGACGTAGGTATCCCTGGGGCTCTCCTCGTAGGGGGCGTGGGTGTGGGTGTTGAAGATCTCAAGGACGTCCCTGGGGCCTGGGCCGAAGCGGATGGTCGCACAGGCGATCCCCTTCCCGACGTACCAGTCACCCCGCCAGAAGGCAGTTGGGCGGCCGTTGAGCTGGTAGGGGACCATGGAGGAGGACGTGATGGGCCAGCGGCTGAAGATGGCGAGGCCGGCCCCAAAGGCGCCGCTGTGGTAGAACTTGGCGTGCGGGAGGATGGCGCTTGTCTCGCGACACAGGGCCTGGAAGTCCTCCTGGCAGAACAGCTCCTGGAAGCACACGACATCCGGCGGAGCGTCCATGGCCGCGATGCGACGCCCAATCTCGAGAATCCGAGGACTGCGGAGGGCGGAGATGTGAAGCAGGCCCCAGCAGTTGAGGGTCAGGAGACGGATCTCCTCCGGGCAGAGCGGCGGCGAGGACAGCGAGTCCCTGCCAGCGGGATCCTGGGAGACTGCCATCTCAAATGATCAAGTCGAACTGTCTAAACGGCTCTTTGCGAAGCGAGGCTCTGGGTGCCGAGGGAGAAACAGGAGCCGCGAGAATGGGGTGACCGCGCCTTGTCGAGTGAGTTGGTCTTGGACGGGTCAGAAGATGAGGCCAAGCCGGTAACCGCAGTTTCCGCCCACAGTATTCGGTTCTATATTTTCAATTCCAACAAGTCATATCAGTTCTGGGCTATGAATAAAACAACCTAGGAGAATATGGTGGTGTTTGAACCGTAGCTTTCCGACCAGGGACTAATCGCGTTCGTCATGATAAACTTATGGACTGACTGCCTAAGTAAAGCCCACCGCACCCACCTTCACGATCTCTCGTAGGCGCCAATCACAAGGTACATAACATGCAATGCGTGCAGCAACTTCACAGCCTTGCCATCAGTAATTATATTCATTGGTCCGTTTTAAAGTGGTATCAAAGTGGAAGAGAAGATCAAGAGTCCGCTATTAGAACGAGTACGTCGGGGGCCCCTGAATACGTTATAGATAAAACACAAGTGACACCTGAATTCCGTCCTGAATGCCATAAACCGTTTCCTTATATATCTTCAACCCCTTCAAAGGAAACAAAATGAAAAAAAAAAAGCGAAAAAGAGCTGGCGGACCAACGATTGCCAGTTCAGATAACCCAGCCCATTGAGAAACGACACCCTCTTCCCATCCTCTCCGCCGACGGAGCAATGCGCTAAGTGGAACAATTTTTTTTGGTCGAAATCGCGGAATAACCTTAACACCAGTGCCTCGATAAAACGCACGCATGGTCCGTAAAATGAAATTCGGTTCGACTTAAACTCGGTGTTTCTCCGATTCTGCACAAAAATTGTAACGGTTAGAAGTTTAGTTGTTGCCGTTGGCTCTGTTTTGAACCTCACCAAGTCGAGAATAGAGCATGTATAGAGCCATGCGGTTGCACTCTTCAGTTCCCGTGATCGTCACAAGCCGCTCATTGCTGTTATCCTGGGGCTCGTTGATCTTGATGACGCTGCCACTCATTTGGCGGATCTCATTGATCTTCTGCCCGCCCTTTCCTATGATGGCGCCCACCATGTCGTTGGGAATGTAAATCTGCTGGGTGATCGGGCCACCAGGCATACCAGCCTGGATCGGCTGGCCTTGAGCATGGGGCTGGGGAGCCGCATGGCCACCCACATGTGGCTGAACGTGAGGAGCAGCTCCGTAGGCCGCGGCAGGCTGACCGCTATATTGAACGGGGATCGCAGGGTTGGCGTGCGCACCGGCATGAGGATAGTGCTGGGCGTAAGGGGCAGGAGGCAGCTGCGGCTGGGCGCGTCGATCGTGCTGGCGTTGGTAGTAGTTATCTCCACGTCCATAACTGCCTGGAGTATTCTGAGGGCTATAGGGCACAACCTGCATACCACCAGGAATCGATCCGGCCGGAGCACCGCTTCGGGTGGCGTACGCGGAGGCGGCAGGACCGCCAAAACGGTCATTGAGCTGCTCGAGAAGAGTGCTGCCAACGTAGTAAGTGGCGATGTGGACAGCGTCAGCGACTCCCATAACAACCAACGAGCGCTCACTAGACATGGGCAAGCATGCATCCGATGCATTCAATCTTGCTCCAGATGCGTCCTGAATCTCTCGGATTCGAGCGCCGCCCTTACCAATGATGGATCCAATCAGGATATGAGGGACGAGGAGCCGGAGGGGGTAGGTTTTGGAAGACGCAGTCGACGACTCTCCCAGGGGTTCATTGTTCAGTGTACGGATAATGAGTCCAAAGGCCTAGAACGCGTTGTTAGCCCAAGCTCGTGATCCAATTTTGGGATGCCTCTACTTACCTTAGCCACAGCATCCACCACACCACTGACAGTCAAGATGCGCTCGACAGCTCCCTTCTGGTAGTCGCTCACGGTGCATTTGGCGTTTGACATCTTGCGAATGTTGGAGACATTTTCGCCACCCTTGCCAATGATAGTGGCAGCCTCAGGGCTCGAGATGACGGCACGAATGTGGATCCAGGAAGTCTCGTCGTGGGCATTCGCAGTACTCGCGGCGGCGGTTGGGGTTGGTCCAGCTGTTCCGGCCCTGGACTCAGGCAGTGTCATATCTGCTGTTGTCTCTGTAGCTGTTGCGCTGCTAGCGGCATTATCGCTTCCGTTCTGTTCAGCAGCTTCGGCAGCGGGCGCATCGGCTGCAGCTGCTGAAGCCTTTTCGGGAACCTCAGCATCGTCTTCGTTTCGGGAGACCTTGTCAAGAGCAGGTCGCTTGGCCTCGGGCTGGTCGGTGGTCACCGAGGGTGAGGAAGCATCCTCGAGGGGGCGCTTGGCCGAGTTTGTTGGCTGTGATGGTGACGCGGACATTTTGAAGGATTTGAGGTGTCACAAATGCAGCTGTATGAAAAAAAATACGCGGCGGGATCGAGACGGAAGTCTTCTGTGTAATTTCTCTTTTCTTGATTTTACTCGCAGTTTTATCTACACACAGGGGGTTTCCGGAAGGAAAACGTGCTGGTGTAGTGGCGGGGTCGGGAGATCGAGCTTTGAAAGAGCCTTCGTGATGTGACTGGAGCCGTGAAGGATGGTGTCCTGGGTATGACTGATGCAGGTGCAGATGGGGTTGATCTGAAAGGGGTATCCTTTGCTCCAGCTCTGTCGGTGCTCCTAAGCTCCCGATTTAAAGGGTTCCGAACTGCCACAAACCGTAGTTGAAATTCAGGCGGTAGAAAAGAGGGAAGAGATTGGTGGAACCGGCACTGAGGGACCCGGCTTTAAACAAGCAGAAGGGGAGAGGCACCCTGTAACTTAAACCTTTTGACCGCAGATGTTGGATCAGCTGAAGTGCTCCTACGTTGTCGTATCACAAGAGGCGACGGCCGAAATCGAGGCGTGGAGGTGAAGCGACGGTGAGCTCCAGCTGAATTGCTTGACGCGGTGATGTTTTGGAATTGGAGGAAGCTGTCACAAGTCGCCTGACGGAATCCGCGTTACCGAAGGAAGTGCAGAGACAATAAAAAAGGGAAGGGGGAATTAGAATACAAGGCAGGCAACAACGAGCTGCTAAGCGCAGACGATGGAAGAAGAATGAAGAAACCGGGGATGAGATGACGAAGCGCGGTTTGTCGCCAGGTGA